AGAGAGAGAGAGAGAGAGAGAGAGAGAGACAGGCTTGCCCAGTGATTATATTACTAATTATTAGCATTATTATTACTTAATGTTCTCAATTGTATTATTAATTGTATTATTATTGCTTAATCGTCCGTCGGTAATAACTTTCAATTTTGGCAGTTTGGTAAGCTCCTAACTTCATCGTGTTTAAACCGTTTTGCAATCCACTGTACGTGTCAGCCGTGTCACGCGAAATTGCGCTGTGGGCTGACGGGAAGTTTCATTCGAACGGAAATTCTCAGAACGTATCGTTAATTAAGGCTGAAGATTTTCCTATGTGAAAATCAATAAGTATGCAAAAGTTACTTTGATTGAAGTTTATTGAATTAGTTATTTTTATTGGAATATTATTAAGTTAGTTATTAAGTTATTAAATTAGTAATTTTTATCGTGGAATTATATACACACAAAAATTAGTTATTTTTATTGAAATTATTTTTACGAGTTTACTTTCATTTTTTTTCCTTTTGTCTTTATTAATTTTATTAATTTTCTGACTTTAATTGTACATTTTCCTATTATTACATTACTTTATTCACATTACATTATATATTACTTTAACCTTACATTTATACATATTTTTTTATGTATAGAAGTTTTTGGAAGAAATGCACGAACGACGAAAAAAGATCGATTCCGCTATCTATCGATTTGTTAAATCAAATCCTACTCGCGATAATTTTTAAATTTGAATTCTCTATATCCTCATATGGTACTCGAGAAAACGCACGTTTTCTCGACATTGCAGGTGGATAATATTGATGCCATAACGAAGAACAAATAGAGGCAGCATTTTTTCGCTGGTCGTACGTTGTACTTTTTAAGAACGTCGTCTGCAAGTGTCGTTAGCGGAATTATACGGTATATCGGCGTTCCTTCGCTGCTCCGTTTTTAGCACCGCATTTCACAGCACCTCGTTGGAGCCTCGATACATCGTGATATCGAGTGGTAGATTTATCGATATCTTTATTGCTTCCCCGCCTATAATTAGATATTCTTTAAACTTGGAGGCTTACAAGTGGGATTTGCGATACTAAATTTGCTGATATCTCTATTTGAATTCAAGGGGTTGGAGCGACCGCCGTAGTACACGCAGCGTTTTGCATACCACGGCAAGAGAAATGCGCAATCAAGAGAATAAATCTAGAAAAATGGAACACGAACATGGACGAGCTGTTGGTGAGATTTTTTTTTGTTTTACGTTCATCTTGACATTGGATTTCGCGCAATGACAGATCAATATGGCATCTCTCGATAAGACTTTTATATATTGTATGATTCATTGGATTACTGTTCTTATCAATTATAACGTTTGCTGTATCCAACAGGTTATAAACTTTTTATATTACATAGCAGTAGCGTGACTATCTTTTCCTCGATAAAATGTGGATTTACAAGTGTTGTTCCATGGAAAATATACATTTTTAAATATTTCTACTTAATACGTTAATTAAATTGATATATTGATCAGTACTGGTAGAAATATATATGCAATTTACATAGACATTTATTCAGTTATTGTTTAGTATTAATATATTTTTATTGATTGTAAAAATACTGCTTAGCAACTGGACAAGAACTTGATAGAATTTTATTCAGTGATTATAACAAATTATTGTACAATATGTGAACTGATTAATTCTAAAACATAGTACTTCACTAATATTGATCTAGAGCGTTATAATGTTATATTATCGTAATTAAATTTAAAGCATATTTATTTATATTGTATAAGAAAGAGCTTAAAATTGCATGGATAATGAGTGAACATGTAGAAAAGCATACGGCAAGAAAAAGGGAATTGGAAGAAATAAGACATTTGACAATATTAAATTTTGTGACAAAGAAGACAACCAAGATTAGAAATAAAAGTGAGCAATAGAACAAAATTGGGTACATGTTAATAATACAAAATTTCACTGCAATATGGACACATCAGAATATTCTGATGGTAATGATACAAATGAAAACTGTTAAATATAATACTGTTAAATATATAACTGTTAAATAATAGCTCCGACTTAATAACTACAAAAATAGATAAAAAGATATGTTATTCGATGATTGTGAAAGATATCACATAAAAAAGAGAAACATGAAAAAATATATATTATGCACCAAAGATTTTTTGCGTGTTTTGGCTCTCAATAGCATTAAAATTTCTTAATTAGAAGGCATGCATAAAGGCTGAAATACTACTAAGACAAACCTGCTTATTTTCTGAGTAGACTGAATTATTAATTAACTGATTAGTTCTTTGTCCATTTTTTGTTCTATTTTTATTCAATAAGTGGATTTAGATTTTGCACAATATATATATATATATATATATATATATATAACTATTTAAAAACTGCATTAAATTTCTACTAGGGATCTACTACATTCATTAATTTCTACCAGGATAATATGAATATATAATATATATTGAGAGATGGAAAAGAGAGAGAGAGAGAGAGAGAGAGAGAGAGAGAGAGAGAGAGAGAGAGAGAATTTATTATTAATCAAAACATTCTTTATTTGGGAAAAAACTAGAAAGAGATACAGGCGATGTCTTCGTGCAATCACGAGAACGTCGTGACGTACTACACGTCGTTTGTGGTAAAAGAAGAACTCTGGTTAGTCCTGAGATTGTTGGAGGGTGGCTCCTTGTTGGATATAATCAAGCATAAGACAAGAACCACTAATTGCAAGCATGGAGTGTTCGACGAGGCAACCATAGCCACGGTACTTCGAGAAGTGCTCAAAGGGCTCGAATATTTTCACAGCAACGGACAGATTCATAGGTAATCCAACATAATTCTTTCTCTCAAATCATCGCAATACATTTCCCTTCGTGTATACACAAAATTCTAATCTTCACATTCTTTCCTTATTTATATTCTCTGACCAAAACTCAGTCGCTAGATTACTATATTATTAACATGTAACAGCGCAAATTTGCTCATCTTAACACATAAAAAATCAGTCACAAGATTTCTAGTGTTTCAAAGCTCAAATGCGAAAGACAAGCCACGAGTTACCTCGTTTTCGTTTCTCATTACGTGAAATGCTAACGGCAATTGTTACATGAAAGGCAGGAGAAAACTCGTAATAGGCCTTTTGCGTTTGAGCCTTGAAAAGCGGGGGATCTTAACCGGTCTTTTATGTGTTGAGATAAGCAAACTTACGTTATCTTATTTACTACGTGCATAGACCAATTTTAACGGCAGAATAATATTAGGGACATAAAAGCGGGTAATATCCTACTAGGCGAGGATGGCACAGTGCAGATCGCCGACTTCGGTGTCAGTGCGTGGCTTGCAACCGGCCGCGACCTCAGCAGGCAAAAGGTCCGGCACACCTTCGTCGGTACGCCGTGTTGGATGGCGCCCGAGGTCATGGAGCAGGTGAGAGAGGAAAGTAACACTACGACTTCTTAGCCTGCGTTTTCTGTGTCTGCCTACCTTTTACTTGTGTTTGCATTTGTCGGTGTAACACGGACACTTTGCCCGAGCGAACGGGAAATGCGTGTGTCGACGACGAGATCGCGCGTGTGAAATACCGCTTCTGCTATCGTCGACTGACGACACACGGCGTACGTACCGCGATACGCCGTGCGGTTTCGCTGTTGCGTGCGACACGAGGAAATGCTTTTATCACCTTGTTAAGGCAAGAATTAATTTGAGTTAGCAATCATGTCATTTGTTGAGCATGACACGATCCGTGTGTTAGGCATGTTATATGCAAGTAGCCGCATAGAAAACCACGCTGAGGAAATATCACGATCACGATGCCGCGAGATCACCTCCTCGACGATACTCGGCGTTAAGCCCGTGTTACACTACGGATTGGAGATAGAGGATTGCGAATTGAAGATTGGAACTTGATCAATCGGAGCCAAGCAGGCTAAGACTAAAGTGCATTGATTCGTCGAAATCTAATCTTCAATCCGCAATCCTCAATTTCCAATTCGTAGTGTGACACGGGCTTTACATTGTGCGCGTTACGTTGTTCTTCACTCCGTTCTCTTTGTACTTGTGTCTGTATATCTAATCATTTTACACGCCTTCATCACTCACACCAAGTGAATCTCGCTCAATCGCACACGTTGACTGTGCACACACGTTTTTCATAAGCAACTTCAGCCGCACGAGACTGTTGAGACTTTATCCAATTGTATGAATCAAAACAGGAGAACTGTCTTTTAGCTTTCTGAGCGTAGACGCATCGCGGAGTATAGTTTGAGAGTTGTGCTGTACGGTGAAAGATCGTTCCAAATTCTGAAGAGAAAATCTGTTAGAGAGAATATATTTTCCGGTTAAACCGACCGGCTGCTGCTCCTGCGTGTGAGACTGCAACTGCGAGTTATGTTTAACGGATTCTGGCCAAGCATGTGAGACCTTGACGAGCACGACCACATGAGATTATTATTATAATTGACAATCTTGCCGTCACGTGTACGCTGTAAAATCAATTATGATATGCGTCTCTGTTTGTGCAGGACCATGGCTACGATTTCAAGGCCGACATCTGGTCACTTGGTATCACGGCGATCGAGATGGCCAGCGGCACGGCTCCGTACCATAAATATCCTCCGATGAAGGTCCTGATGCTGACGCTGCAGAACGATCCACCAACTTTGGACACCGCTGCGGACGACAAGGATCAGTATAAGGCGTACGGGAAAACATTCCGGAAAATGATCGTCGACTGTTTACAAAAAGATCCTACTAAAAGGTAGATCTAATTCTACCTCCGTTTAAAGTTTGCCAGAACAATTAGAGTGGTTAGAGTAAGTGCGGAATTTTCGTTGTAAGTTATATTTTGCAGTTGGAAACTGCTGAGAACTGTTACTACTATTTGTTAAGTCGGTGCTAAAGACTTGTCATATCTGTTAAATCAAAATGGAAAATGAAATTATTTGATTCCAAACTATTAATAATTTTTACGAATAAGATGAACAACATCGACTGGGTATTTTTTTATAGGCATCTAACACAAAGACTTTCTATTTTTCTTTTAATACACAAACTTCCTACGGGAATTTAATAGAAAAATATTTTGTACCGATCTAATAGTATACTGATTTAAAAATCAAAAAGAACAATAAAAAGTAGAAATAATAGAATTTTGTACCGATCTAATAGTATACTGATTTAAAAATCAAAAAGAACAGTAAAAAGTAGAAATAATAGAATTTTGTAGTAACAAATATATCAGTATCGAAAACTGAAGTAGATATTATCGTTGAGCAACTATTCTCTATTCTTTCATACTGAAAGTCTCTATTGTTTCAGACCGACGGCTACCGAGCTGCTAAAGCATCCCTTCTTCAAGAAAGCCAAAGACAAGAAATATCTGCAGCAGACACTAGTGGCGATAGGACCTAGTTTAGAAACGCGTGTACAAAAAGTATGTATTTGTATGCGTTTACATGGCGCTAGCAAAATTCTGCAAATTAAATTTGGAAGAAAACTAAACTCAAAAGAGTATTCTATGCTTGTAATATTTTCTCAATTACTTTGATATCTTGTAGAATGGCCTCGTGATAATAATTTGATGGATTGTTATTGCTAACTTTGCCAGATATTAAAAGAAACTTGTTGTTTCTTTGCAGGCATCGAAAAGACAACCCGGCACGTCGGGTCGCTTGCATCGAACGGTGACTGGAGAATGGGTTTGGTCGTCGGAAGAGGAAGATAGCGGTGCGTCAAGCGGCGAAGAAGCCGCCAAGGAAGCGTTGCCGGTCAATACTATCGAGAAAGCCAGCAGTGACGAGGAAGCTGGCGAGAACGAGGAGTACGAGGGTCAAATCAAGTTAGCACCGAGTCAACTCGTGATACAAGCTACCGAGCAAAATGTTCCTATCAATTTGGTGCTCCGATTACGGTACGTAAAGTCGTCACGCGTCTGTTTGAGTTTGGAATTATAGATTTCGTCACTCGATATTCGTCCTCACAAACACGCAGAAAATCCGCTTATCTATATAAACATACAGAAAATTCGGTTTACCTTTGAAAGGAGTCCTGAGTCAGCTCTTTATCGCCTTATCCCCGCAAATACGATTACGTATTAATGACGTCTCTGACGTCAATTACGTCTTGCGTCAATTAAATACGCTAATTATGCAGTTTGATGTTATAAGCTTTTCCAGGGACACTGACACATGTGTGTACGTTCAATAATCATTCACTTATTGAATGTGTACATGTGTGTGCCTTTCATGAAAAAAAAATATATCCAATCTTTCTTTTTTTAATTAAAACATTATCGACAAAATATAATAAACTTTACTATGCAAATAAATATTCACAAAATTTACAACAAGAATTTACAATATTCACAACAAGAAAAAAAAGAATCTCGTTATATGTGATTAATATTTTAAAATTAAATCAATTTTTTCTGTTTTTAATAAATTCACACCTGAATAAGTTAATGTCATCATATTTATTTAGATTCTTTATCCTCAGCTTTTTATTTCCACATAGAACAAGATAATCGCTTTATTATAAATATAACGCGATGTTTATGCGTTAAGGGAGTGTGTGTGTTTCTTACAGGAATGAGAGACGGGAACTTAACGATATTAGGTTCGAATTCACCGTTGGAGTAGATTCCGCGCAAGGAATCGCGGCCGAGTTGGTCGCCGCGGGTTTAGTCGATGGTAAGGACGTTGTGGTGATAGCGGCGAATCTGAAAAAGTTAATAGAAAGCGCGGGACAATTGCGGACAGTGACATTTTCCTTGGTAAGTGTCTCACATGTTTCACATGTTGCAGATTTTATCAAATTTTACCAAACATAAATAGACTGTTAATATATCTATGCGAAAGTTGATGTCTGAAAGCTACTCTAATGATAAAAATTTGTGAAAAATTACGCGGTAAAAACGCCTGCAATATTTCTTTTTTATTTCGAAAGTAGTTCTTCTTTTTTGAAATACAAATATTTAATACTTACTTTTAACTAATTAAATTCTCTTCATTCACAAATATATTTACTGATGGATTTAACGTAATTTAACAATTTTAAATGTTAGCGACACGCTTTTCTTTGTTACAGAATTCCGGTTATGCGGCAAATGAAATACCAGATGATAAGGCATTAATAGGATTTGCTCAGATCTCTCTTACTGATTAAATATCCCCGATTGCGTTCTCAGGACAATGTTCTTAATTGACACATTTGCCACGTGAAGATCGGGGAGTACCAAAAGCTAATGCGAATCGGCTCGATGCTACTTTTCTCGTGATACCAAGCAGTAAGAGAGCAGGAAGAAGGCTTGACTCACTCACACGGGACACGCGCATGCTCGAGGCGCACACATCCACACACTCTTACACGACACATACAAGTGCAAGCCAGTTGACCGCTAACGTTCGTGTACCAAATTTTAGCTTTTGATACTTTCGTTTCTTTCAGATTATAACGAAGTAGAGAGAGCGTTGATTACATACAGGGCGTAGGTGTTCGAATATATAGGTGTTCTAAATCGACAATGAATTACAATACGTCAGTAGTAATGGACTGCTCAAAGTGTGCGTATCACATCTCGCCGATGGCCGTGATACGTTTCGCATAAGATATCGGGGCAGATACATAAAAAAAAACATTATCATCCAATACTGGCTTAAGGGTATAGACTTACTCTGATCAATAATGGCTGTAGTTTTACATAACCGAATTGTATATCATCACCATATTACACATTCAGTCTATGTAAATATTAGCATTCGAACGTTTGTTAAGTTTTTTCTCTTTTTTTTCTTTACGATATATTGAATGGGATGAGGACGAACTGTGGAATTAGCGCGATATTTCGCGCGAACGAACGTGTAGAATCGAGAAAACGCTTGATAGTCTAACTTATTTGTCCGAAACGTGTAAGCGATTTCTCTCTCGAGTAACGAGATCTTAGTTATATAAAAAAGGAAAAAAATTTGAATGTATGCTACGCGCAGAGTCACTATTGTCTCTATGTATCATATACAAATTATCCGCGTATGTCTTATATATGCTTTATGCTGAAATGTGAAAAAAACAGATAGGGAATGTTGATGAAATATGAAAAATCTTTTGTACTTAATTAAATAGACTTATGAGATAGAGTGAATTAATATTTTCGCAGTTTTTAGACGCAGAGAGAGAGAGAGAGAGAGAGAGAGAGAGAGAGAGAGAGAGAGAGAAAGGAAGAGTGAGTCAGAGAGGGGGAGAGGAAGACGAAGGCGAGAGGGATGGTCGAGAATTTGTACCTAGTAAATCTTGAAATTTTTAAATTAAGTCATCTCTTTGTAAAACACGTCGTAAAATGGATAAAGTCAGGATCACGTGACGGCAATCTAAAGCAAACTGTACTTTACAATTTCGCGGACAGTGTTCACCATTTTTACATTCTTGTATCCACTCGTAAGTCGTAAGGAAATGTATTTCTGCAACGTTATTATCACTTATTATAGTCTTGCGTGCACTTAAAATAGAACTTTACTGCAGAAAAAAATAGAGCGCAAGCATGTAAAATTTACACAGTAATTTTCAAGAAAGATACTCTAGCAAATTTAATTTTTTAGTGGATTTAAGGCTCCTTATACCTCGTCGCGGTCATGTTGAATTACGTGACGTTAGAAGCGAGGAACGACATACTAACGAAGGTTACGTGCTATTTCTAAATAAAGATAAATATGGACGAAAGAGCACTTGAGGCTGCTTGAGCATACTTGTAAAATTGTCTGAAAAGTATCTTTTTTTCCTGACGATTAATAAATAGTCATATAATAAATAGTAAAATAAGGCATGTAGACAAAACAAATCCATTTCATTATTTCACATGCCTCATCTTACTATATATTATAAAACTATTTATTGATCATCAGGATATCTTACATATTCTTATAGCTTATCCTGTGAAGTAGTTCAAATCAGTACGGTATGCGTGCGCACTCATGGTGAAAGTTATAAAACTATTTATTGATCATCAGGATATCTTACATATTCTTATAGCTTATCCTGTGAAGTAGTTCAAATCAGTACGGTATGCGTGCGCACTCATGGTGAAAGTTATAAAACTATTTATTGATCATCAGGATATCTTACATATTCTTATAGCTTATCCTGTGAAGTAGTTCAAGTCAGTACGGTATGCGTGCGCACTCATGGTGAAAGTCGCAATTTTTAGCTCTCATTATTCATCACATTTTTTCGAAAAAATGGTGATTTGTAACCATAGTGTTTCGTTTTGATAGTAATTCGGACAATTTTACAAGTATGCTCAAGTAATCTCAAATGCTTTTTTGTCTATATTTATCTTTATTCAGAACGCAACTTTCGTCAACATGTCATTTCTCACTTTTAACGTTACAAATCCGATATGACCGATGAGACACAAGGAATCTTAAGCTCATAAAACGCTTTTGCTTTTTTAAATTTCTTTATGGACGGACCCGTACACTTGTAGTAAATTTGAAAAGAAAGAGCACGCGAGAAGAAGGATCTTCCCAAAAGATTTATGTTGAATGGTGAAAACTAAAGAATAAACAATTCGCTTCTGAACGATTGCAGAATGGCGCGCAAACGCAATCACGCGCAAAATTTTTGCTTCACACGAGTTACACGAACGATCAATATGATTCTGCATTTTATCGATTTTTACACACCTGCGAACCGCAGCGGCTACATTTTGCGTAACGATGTGGTAAAGGACTCCCGCATCTCGTGATTGTTATTTTAAAATATCGCACCAGTTTTGTTATATGTGTATCACGTTTCCGTTAAAATTATCGCTGAAAATAATATTTTTTTTTCTGTCATTCGTTGACGAATGCTGTTTTTTAACGTTGAAAATTCGCACGCGATTCCGCATCTCCTTTGCCATATTGCGACAGCCACACACTCACAGAATGCTAAATCCGCATGAGACTTGCGGAGTGAAATCAGTTGTAGTTGTGATCGAAATACAAATCTGTTGACACACATGTGATGGTTATATATATACAGATTATATATAAATATATATATATAAACTTCGACATATCTCGAACTAGCTGCGCGGTTGCTACATCACGATAGGAGACACACACTTTTATGCTTAAAGATAGTTTGTAAACATGAATTAAATGAAAACTTTTAGAATCTTTTTTACAAAACAATTATAACACTTTTTTGACACATTTTTTAACTTACAGTGTGTTTTTATTTTATTTCGAGAAAGTTACATAATCTTGTTTATAATTAAAATTCGCATATTGATTGAATTATAGAGTGCACTGTGCAGCACACTCGTATTCTGCTGGCGTGTATGATATAGCCGCGTGTAGTGATTTGGAGTGAAGCAAAAAAGACTCTTGTTTTATATAAGTATGATTATCCAAACTAGAACCATTGAACTAGACCAAAATTTGGCAAAATTGCAGAATCACAATTTATTTTTTTCGCCATTTTTGGTTTAATCCAGTAGTTCTAGTTCAAATGATAGCCACGCTGCCATAAAAGAAGAATCTGTTTGCTTTTTTGCTTCAGGTCACTACAAGCGACTGTAACATACACGTTGACAGAACACGAACGTCTTGCGCTGTGTCTTGTAACTTAGGGGCCTATTCTAAATGTTTAATGATGTCGTTATGTATTGCTGCACAGTTATTTCATAATACAAAAAATCTGCGCAATGATACATAACGATGTCGTTAAAAGTTATAGAATATACCTCTTAGCCAATATGAGAGTTTTAATTATGAAAAAAATTATGTAACGTTCTCAGAAATATGATCAAAATATACTGAAAAGTTCAAAAACATGTGCGTTATAATTTCATTATAAAAAATTCTAAAAATGTTCGTTTAGTTCATGCCTGCAAATTACCCAGAGCCGGTAACAACCCAGCAAACATAACGGCGTCAAATGACGTTTCGATGACGCATTAATGACGACTCTAACGTCAGTGATATATCATTAGTACGTCACTCAACGTCATCCTGCTACTTTGGGATCTCACGAGAGCAACGCGTGAGAAGTGAGCATAATATTACTGTTAAGCCGTAAAACGATAATAATCGTACGCTAGTTTAGTACCTAAGTAGATTTTTACAGATAGCTGTGTGTATTCTCTCTCAATGGCACTATATATACATATATATTATATATCCCGTAGCTGTCGTAGAATCTTCGTGCACCACGTCTCGCCGGCAGATGCTTTCCAATCGTTTGAACAACATTAATTGTGTCGTCACTATGTGCCTTATATGGAGAACGCGTATTTATTATATGTCGAGAAATTTTTCGTGTCTTTACCTTAGCAGAGTGAAAAAGTAGAGAAAAAAGGGAATTCCGGCAGAGGATCATTCAGGATTCGCGAACAGAGAACTCCTCTCACACGCAACACGATCGAGGCGGTGCCAAAATAAAAGTGTGCTGTACGTAGCGATTAAATATGTATACGAAGAAAACGATAATTTATTTGTATCAATATCAAACGTCGTTTTGGCAGCGATAAACATTTGTATTTTATTCCATCGCGCAAGTCACAATAGACTATTACGCGCGGAAGAGTTGTAGGATGGATCGAAACGACTTTCAGAATGAGCAGTGATACTTAAGGTTCCTGAGTGTCAACTATGTATTTTTTCCCCGTGAACTCGCGAAAAGTGAAAAGTTTTATATGAGCATTTTTACCTGTCTATTATTCGAAATGTTATATGATCGTGAAGGTCATGCGAAACTTTTCGCTTTTCACGTTCATGCTTTTAGGAAACGGTTACATGATCGCTACCCAGGTTCCTCGCTCTTGATTTAACTTCAATTAATTTTTATAATCATTTATTGCTTGTTAGAACAAGAAAAGTATTCGGACTATTTTACAGATCTGCTCGGTCGATTGCAAGTGTTATTTTATCTCTTTATTTCTACATATTTTGTAAGAAATTGAGCGCGTATTTTCTCGTTTCTAATATCATAAATCAAGATGGCCGCAGTAAGGACTGAGGAGTTTAAACATCGACAAGAATCATTTGAATTAGCTGAAATTCGGCAGTAAAATTGATTTTGCAACTTCGTTGTTGAACAAACTCAATCAGATCTTTCTTATTCATTGCATTTAAAATACATTAACTACTCTATTCAATTACGCTTACCCAGGTAGAACAGATAGTCAAAATAATGTAAATCTCATTTTCAAAATGACGTAAATTTGGTCAAAATGACGTCAGATTGATATTATTTTAATTGTTCTACTTGGATATGTATATGTATTTGGATAATCGATTTGGTCTGTTGTTCGAGTTAATCGAGGTCTATAATGAGAACTTAAGCTTTAAGTAAGAAATTGACCAATCACAGTTGAATTATAGAAAAATAATTAATTATGATTGGTCAATTTCTTTCTTAAAGCTTAAGTTCTCATTGTAGATCCCGCTTCATATTTATAAAGTAAAGAACGTCGTTCTTTACTATTTAAAAGTAAATAAAGTCGTTGCTATTTGATATCATATTAGGGCTGCGTTCGCTTTGGGCGCTTATGCGCTGTAAGCGTCATTCTATCTTCTTCCCGTATGTAATGAACGATAAAGATAGAATGACGTTTACAGCGCGTAAGTATCCAAAGCGAACGCAGCTTAGATGTCATCGGATGACGACGCAGTGCCTTCTAATATCCTGAACATATTATGAAGAATTCAAAATCGATTCCGATCGGAATAATGGAGAATTCACACTGCGTCTGACATTCAACATACGACGATATGATATTCAATAATAGAGTTTCTTTGCTAGAATGTTTATCTAATGACATTTTTATCTCTAGAAGACAAAGGGCCATAATTTGTATGTACTTGACAGGAAAAAAAAACTCCGGTTGGAAAACTATTCTTTTAAATCGTTTGTATTTCGTATGAAGAATTTTGAAGTGCAATTGAAAAGATTTGTGAGTCATTCTATTACTTGTAATTAATTGTTCTTTTTTGGACCATGTATTTAGCCGGAAATAATGACCGGAGATAAATTAAACAAAGGTTCGGTATGGTATCATTTGTATTTCGTATGAAGAGTTATGAAGTATCATTAAAAAGGTTTGTGAGTCATCCAGATAATTTTAATTAAATATTAAAAAATTATGTATTTGGCCGAAATATCGATCTCAAGCGCTGCTGTGGAAGTACCGTCAGGCACGATCGGTGTACCAGGCTTCTCTCGGCTTCAATTCGTATGGCACCCAATTTCCTTGCTTCTGAATCATTCCCATGGCTTTGAGGCGTTTTGAAATGGCTTGTTGAGTCACTCCCAATGATCGTGCCAATTCTTCTTGATTTTGACAAGAGTTTTGATCAAGTAATGCCTCCAATTCTATATCTTCGAAAACTTTCTCTTTTCCACCGCTATGCCGGTCTTCGACGTCAAAATCACCGTTCTTGAACCCCCCCCCCCCCCC